CTTGTCAGATCTCAGTGGAAGAGGATGTGCTTAGTTTTGATGTAACTTGATATGCCAGGTGGATTGGTTGGGGGTGGGGGGAGCAGAGAAGGGGGAAAAGGGGAAAAGGGTGCGAGGGTAGGACTGGAAGGTGTGGAGGGAGGAGGCTGCAATAGGGATGTAAAGTGAATAAATATATTTTTTAAAAAAGTGATTCTTCTAGGAAACAAAGTTGTGGCAGACTAAAAGTGATATTTTACAGAGCAGAGTAGTTCAATTTCTTCTCTCCTCTTGCATGAGATTGGCTGTTACTCACTTGAACAGAACTGAGGCAGCTTTATGAAATTCTACGTTATGAAAGAAACCTCTATCTCCCCCTTCTTTCATAAAATTCCATGCATTCTCCCAAAGTTTGGCTATGAGTCTCAGTTTCTGCTTTGATACCTCGATCAGTATAGTCTTTCAGAGGTCCTTTGTGGCAGGCTCCTATCCTGTTCCCTGTCTTTTCCTGCTTCAGATGCCTATCACATTTGCCCTTCTGAATGAGGACTGAGTATCTTCCCTAGGATCCTCCTTGTTCTCTAGCTTCTATAGGGCTATAGATTTTAGCATGTTTATCCTATATTATATGTCTAATAACCACTTATGAGTGAGTAAATTCCAAGTGTGTCTTTCTGCTTCTGGATTAACTCATGATGATCTTTTCAAGTTCCCACCATTTTATGAAAGAAGGGGAGATAGAAAGACCTGGAGGGGAAAGGAGCTTCAAAAGTCGACCAACAGAGCCAAAACCAAACCAAAACAAAATGGGCCCTGGGGTCCTTGCAGTGACTGATACGCCAACCAAGAACCATTCATGGAGAGGACCTAAAACCCCTGCTCAGATGTAGCCTGTAGACTCAGTCTCCAAGTGGATTCCCTAGTAAGGGGAGCAGGGGCTGTCTCTGACATGAACTCAGTGGCAGGCTCTCTGATCACCTTCCCCTGGGGGGTGCAGCTTTGCCAGGCCACAGGGGAAGACAATGCAGCCAGTCCTGGTGAAGCTAGGGCCAAATAGAAGGGGAGGAGGACCTTCCCTATCAGTGGACTAGGGAAGAGGCATATGGGGGGGGAGAGGGAGGGAGGGTGGAATTGGGAAGAGACGAGGGAGGGGGCTACAACTGAGATACAAATTGAATGAATTGTAATAAATAAAAGTTTAAAAATATATAATAACAAAAAGGTAAATTCACAATTTAAATGCATTAGAACAAAGAAATAAAAGAAGTAAGGTATGCATATGTGTGCTAGATAGTTTAGATATACCAAGAGTTTGGTAACTAAAGAGCTAGCTGTGTGGTTTCCAAAGTCAACATGGCCTTGTGTTACATACAGACCCAGATCCAAGATCAAGGTTGTTTACTGACAAGAGTAGACCTTGAACTGAGCTTAACAAGGTCTTTAGTGTGTGTGTGCTGGGGGGAGGGCATTGGCACCAGACTAAACGTACATGTAGCTTTGATCTTTTGGGCACTTACGTTTTTATTAAATTGATTTTGTATTCTTAGGCTTATAAGCTGTAGTCAGATAAAATGCCAAATCAAACTAAACAAACCAGTAATGCTATAAATATATCTTAAAAATAAGAAACCAAACCCATTATGAGCTGGTGAGCAAATGCTATTTACTACAACTTCTAAAAAAAAGGCTAATTGCTCTCTACAGAATTGCTCCTGTGCCAACATTTTTTGCTGGAGACGTCAATTGGTTTGGTCATCTTATTAGCAGGGACAGAAAATTTGCCTAATATTGATTTTGGCGTTCTAAGAAGCATGTAACTTTCAAACAGGGATCATTGTAGTCAGACATGATGGCAGAGGTCTGAAGTATGGCGTGGAGTTAGGTAGACAAAGAAATATCCCTAGGGGTGGCCCGCCAGGGCTTTGGAAATAGAAACGCTGAGCACACTACTGCACACTAGAGCACACTACTGCACACTAGAGCACACTAGAGCACACTAGAACACACTAGAGCACACTACTGCACACTAGAGCACACTAGAGCACACTACTGCACACTAGAGCACACTACTGCACACTAGAGCACACTAGAGCACACTACTGCACACTAGAGCACACTACTGCAGTTCTTTCTACTATTGCAGTGTCTCCCCTTCCCTTTAAGAAAGGTAGGTGCCAAGAAAAAGAAGTCACACGGAGTTCTTTTCCCAAGGCTTTGTCTTTTTAGAGATAGAGGCTATGTGAAAACCACAGAAGTTTCCAAGTTCAATGTCTGTGTTATTGTAGTATGAGTATGAACCATGTATATGGTCAGCAAGAGGCTGGTACATAAATACCGATTGGTCAAGGCTGCTTGTGAAAATGAAGTCAGCTGGCAATGTTAGAGAACGCTGGGAAAGGCTCTGGACTTCCCCGAGACATGGGATGGAAATTAGGTCTCTCTCACACAGGAATCAGAGAGAAGGGAACTGGAGCCACATCTGCCTGCCTTTTCTCTCTTTCCTCCTCCTCCTTTCCTATTGCCCTGCTAACACTGTATCCTGGGAGCTGGGTGTGGTGATCAAATATACAACTATCTATGTATCACTCATTATTGCCTGGCGTTTGGAACATACTATTAGCTGTTCTTTATCTTGCAAGTGAAGACAGAGTTCTGGGTCTCTTTTTCAGAGGCATACAAGAATAAGTAGCAGAAATAAGAATTAAAGGTTTTTCTCAGTCTGGGTAATCTTTATTCTACCAGGCTATCCAGAACTGAGATGAAGGTTTGCACTAGGAGTGAGGGTGGGACTCCTGGTTACTTATCATCTAAAATGCTGTTAGACATATATTAGACTCTAAATATTGATCTCTTCAGATCTCTAAAGAAGTAAGTAGGTATTACTTTTGCTCTATCATTGTACATTCTCTTAAAAATGCTTCTTTCTTTCTTTTTGTTTGTTTGTTTGAGATAGGAACAGGGTTTCCCTGTGCAACAGCCCTGGCTGTGCTGGTATACTCTTTGTGGACCAGGCTGGCCTCAAACTCACAGAGCTCTGCCTGCCTCTGTCTCTCAAGTGCCAGGATTAAAGGTGTGTGTCTCTGTCAAAATAACCCAATTAAAAAATGGAATACAGAGCCAAACAGAGATTCTCAACAGAGGAATATTGAATGGCTGAGAAGCACTTAAAGAAATGCTCAAAATCCCTAAGTCATCAGGGAAATGCAAATCAAAATGACTCTGAGATTCCATCTTAAATCTATTAGGATGGCTATGATAAAAAACTGAAATGACAGCACTTGCTGACAAGGATGTGGGGAAAAGGGAACACTCCTTCATTACTGGTGGGAGTGCAAACTTGTACAACCACTTTGGAAACCAATCTGGCAGTTTCTCAGAAAGTTGGGAATAGTTCTACTTCAAGACCTAGCTATAACATTCCTGGGCGTATACCCAAAAGATTCTCCACGATGCCACAAAGACACTTGTTCAACTATGTTCACAGCAGCTTTATTCATAATTGCCAGAAACTAGAAACAACCTAGATGGCCCTCAACCAAAGAATGAATGAAAAAAAAGGTGGTACATTTATACAATGGAATACTACTCAGCTATTAAAAACAAGAACATTAATGGATGGAACTAGAAAAAAAAATCAGCCTTAGCCACGTAACCTGAACCCAAAAGATATGCATTGTATGTACTCACTTCTAAGTGGATATTAGCCTAAAAGCATAGGGTAACCACACTAAAATACACAGACCAAAAGAAGCTAAGTTACAATGAGGGCCCAAGGGAGATACTTGAATCTTACTCAGAGGGGAAATAAAATGGCATTGGAAATGGAAGAATGGAATTGGGTAGGAGAGGGGATGGGGATGGGCTCAAGGGTAGGGGTTAGGACTAGTGAGAGAAGTGGAGAGGAGGCCAGGTGAGAGAAGGAAAATAGGAGGTTAGGGGGTCATCTCTGGGACTTGCCAGAGACCCAGGACAGGGGAGGCCCCAGGAATTCTATGGGGGTTACTCTAGTTGAGACTTCTAGCAGCGGCCACATCCTATAGTCAGGCAGGACTTCCAGTGGAGAAATAAGAATAACAACCTACCCACAAAACCTTTGACCCAAAATCTGTCCTACCTGCAAGATGTTAGGGGACAAAGATGGAGCCAAGATTGAAGGAATGTCCAACCAAAGACTGGCCCTACTGGAAACCCATTCCATAGGAGAGAACCAATTCCTGACACTCTTAGTATTACTCTGCTGTGCCTGTAGACAGGAGCCTAGCATAACTCCTCTGAGAGGCTTCACCTAACAGTTGATGGAAACAGATGCAAAGATCCACAGCTGAACATTAGACAGAGCTCAGGAAGTCCTATGGAAGACTTGGGGAAATGACTGAGGAAGCCAGAGTGGTCAAGGACTCCAAAGAAGAGTTACAGAGTCAACTAATCTGGGCCCATGGGGGCTCATAGAGAATGAACCACCAACCGGAGAACTTGCATGGACTAGTCTCAGGTCCCCTGAACATATTAGTAGATGCGCAGCTTGGCCTCCTCCGTCAACTGAAGTGGTGGTCCTCTCTGACTCTGATGCCTCCCCTTTGGATCCAGTTCCCTGAACTAGGCTTCTTTGTCTGGCCCCCAAGGGAGAGGATGCCTTCAGTCCTGCAGTGACTTAATGTGCCAGGGCAGGTTGGTACCCATAGAGGACATCCGCCTTTTCAGAGGAGAAGGAGAGGGGAGAATGGGGGTGTGTGTGTGTGAATGGGGAAACTTGCAGGAGAGCAGGGGGCACTGCAATCAGGATGTAAAGTGAATAAATAAACAGTTTTTTAAAGGTGTGCGCCATGATTCCTGGCTTTAAAACTGGTTCTTTATCAGAATTAATTTTCTTTTTTTTTTTTTCAATTTATTCACTTTGTTTTTAATTAATTTATTTTTTATTTTATTGCATGAGTTTGGATATTATTTTCTATTGCTGTGGTAAAATATCACAACCAAAGGTAACTTGCATAAGAAGAAAAAAAAAAGACATTTTGCCTTACAGTTGCAGAGGTAGAGTCCATGATAGCAAGGAAGGGATGACAGCAGAAGGCTGGAGCAGGAGACTGAGAGGTCACATCTCAACCTCTGCAGAGGTTGAGGTCACACTCTGTAATGAGGAAGCAGAGTGAGAGCTAGATGTGGGGTACAGCTATAAACCCTTAAACCCCATCCCCAGGAGTGACATTTCCTCCAGCAAGGCTACACCCCCTAAAGGTTCTATAATCTCCCCAAACAGTGCCACCGAGAGACCAAGCACTCAAATATATGAGCCTATAAGAAACACTTCTTATTCCAACTGTAAATTTATTAAACAAAACTGAATGATTTTGTATTTTTCAACAGAAATGGGAGGAATCTGAAATGAATTGCAATGGACCTGTGGAGAAATATTCATTATTAACAAGTGATGGTGAGACAGAGAGAATGATGACTACGCAAGTTTCAGAGCTTAATTATTTGAAAACAAAGCCAACTACATGTCAGTTAGTAAAGACAATGAGACTTTTGAGTCTGTCATGGCAGGAAGGCGAGAAGGTCAGATCTTAACTACCCATAATTACTGAAATATTTGAAGATTAAAGATTGTAATAATTTCAGATTTAGTAATGATATTTTTAAAAGATGTTACTATGGTTGTTTATGACAATTGATGGTGACAGAGAATGGAAGCCACGTTGTTTCACTGGATGGATAGCAGTGGCAATTCAAGTGTTTATACAAAACATTTTCAGGGGAAATTTGGGCTCAGAAGCTACCTGGAAGAAAAAAGAAAAGAAAATGTGAAGACATCAGAAATGTAGGAGCATGCAAGGACATATTTTACCCTTATATCTTTAGTTTTAAGAAGTCAAAAGCTAGGGGATTATGAAGAATCAGTAGGAAAAAAAATATACTGTCTATAAGAGTTACACAGTGGGAAAGTATTAGAGATCATTGAATTTCTTAAATCCCCTTAAGAAATAAATATATAATAGGAATTATGTAATAGTAATATTTAACCACAAGCAGATAAAAAATGATAATTTTGTAGTTTTACAGAGAGGGAGAGAGAGAAAGAATACAAGAATCAAAAGTGGAAATAAAAAATGAAATCAAGCGAAAGTTTAAAATATCAAGGAACAAATTAGAATAAGTAAGAAAGAAGAAAGTAGACGGGTTAACAGGCAGGGTGAAGTGGGCAAGGCCAGCAGTTTTTAAAACAATCCGTATTTCGTAGAAGTCCCAACTTTCTGCAAGGCAGGTCACTGAGATGAGGTAACAGCGCGTTTGCATGTCCTGACAGAATGTCACCTGCTGGTAAACAAACTCAGGTCGTCAAGTCCAGGCCTGCATCCAAAGTCTACGATCTACTCTCATCATTTTTGTGTCAATAACAGTTAACTTTTTCTTGTTTTTGAGGCAGGGTTTTTCTGTGTAGCCCTGGCTGTCCTGGAATTCAGTCCCTAGACCAGGTTAGCCTCGAACTCACAGATTTGCCTGCTTTTGCCTCTCCAGTGTTGGGAATACAGGTGTGTGCCACCACTGCCTGGAAACAGCATATAAAAAAGCATTTTCCTTTAATTTTTAGTTACATGTGTGTATGTATGTATGAATTTGTGAATGTTGAGATGGAGATTGATTTGCATGTGGCAGTCAGAGGACAACTTGTGTCACTTCTTGCCTTCCACCACGTGTGTCCCCGAGACCACACTCAGCTGGTCAGGGTTGGTGGTAGATTTTACCCATCCCGCTAGTCTGAACTTCCTAGTGTACGGTTAAAAGAAGCAGATCTTCGGATGCTGGACAGATGTTTCAGCAGTTCGCAGCACTTGCGTTTCATTCCAGCATCCACAGAAAATGGTTCAGAACTGCCTGTCACCCCAGCCCCAGGGGATCTGTCACACTTCTTTGGCCCCTGTGCGCACTGCACACATGCACAAAACTTAAAAGATATCTTTTAAAACTTTTGCAGCCAAAATATCACTTCATAAAATTATTTGTGATTTTCAACATACCTTGTCCATATACAAATTGCAGAAAAGGTTAAGCCAGAAGGTAAACAACTCAAAATCATTTCAGGAAATCCCTGAAACTGACCAGATTCACTAGGCTCCTTCCTCCCAAAAGGAAACAGCAAAGGCTCTCAAGAGTTACTCTAAGACAAGTCAAGATGCAACGAGGATTCTGAGAGCAGACCAGCTACCTGGAAGAAGCAGAAACCAAATGAGCTCCGTGGAAGGTTTAGAACAATTGAGGCACCTGGGAAGGACACTCTCCAGCCTGTTGATCTGCCTATAGGCCGTGGAATGTGCTTTAGGCTTCCAGTGTTTCTGAGCTACCACTCCTGATGGGGTGGGCTTCGGTGATGCAGCTGTCTTTGAGTCATTTCTTTTCCTGTACGTAATCCATCACCTGAATTCCTGTAAGCAACACCAATAAAACTCATTAGTTCACCAAGTTGAACTTTGATGATATCCATACTTTGGTGTGTCATGGGGTTCCTATCTGGGGTGTAGATATATGAGTTGTGTTTCCCCAGAAACCTTTTTTTTTAATACAGTGTACATATGTAATGCATATGAGGAAAAGAAGTAAATTTTGTTTTCAAGTATTTATATACATCTCAATATGTATAATGAAAATATCCTAGAGTACAAAAAGTAAAAATTAAAATTAAAAGACACTTTTTAAAAGGCTTCTCTGGCAAAAGGGCATCCTGGGAGTTGAGAGCCAAGGAATTCCACAAAGTCACACCATGTAACAAATCTCATATAAGAGGTTTACTGAGGAGAACTGGGTGGTGTTGCCTCTGAGTAGAAAGAGAGACAGCAGAGAGCTGGCTGGAGGAGGAGATGGCTTTTATAGGATCTTTGGAGTATGTGAGCTTAGTGGGAAATAAAGTCATGATTGTTGCTGTTATTGTGATTATTCACTGATCAATGTAATGGTGTGATGACCAGATACCATTACCCACCTACTACTTCACTGAACAACTTGTAGTGTGTATATAGCACCTATTTCTTTGCTTGTTTGCTTGCTAGCTTTGGGCAAGGTCTTGCTGTGTAGCCCTGGGATTGCAGCTGTGTGTCTCTATATCAAACTCATCTTTGCTACTCTGGAGTTCAACTTAAAATGTAGCAAGCCTTCACTGTAAATTTCCAGCCATAAAAAGGAATAAAATTACATCATCTGCAAGAAAATAATGGAACCGGTAGATGGCATGTTATACAACATTCAGCATGCTCAGGAAAACAAATGTCCCATGTTCTCTCTTACATGCAGAATATAAATTGTAAAAATAGGTACACATAGGACATGTAACTAGAGGAAAGAAAGACTATGGACTCCATCTGAGCAGGGGTCTAGGCCTCTCCATGCATGGTTCTTGGTTGATGCATCAGTCTCTGTGGGTCCCTGTGCCCAGATTTGTTGGCTCTGTTGGTCTTCTTGTGGCGCTCCTGTTCCCTCTGGGTCCTTCTAGCCCCTCATTTTCCGTAAGACTCCCTGCACTCTGTCCAAAGTTTGGCTGAGTCCCAGCATCTGCTTCCATCCCCTGCTGGGTGGTCTTCCAAAGGACATCTATGGAAGGCTCCTGTCCTGTTCCCTCTCTTCAACTGCTTCCCGTGTCTATTCTATTTGCTCTTCTGAACGAGAATTAAGCATCCTCCCTAGGGTCCTCCTTGATGCACTGTAGTATGGTTATCCTGAATTGTATAGCTTATAACTGCTTATAAGTGAGTGTATACCATGTATGTCTTTATGGGTCTGGGTTACCTCACTCAGGATAATCTTTTCCCAATCCATTCATTTGCCTGAAAATCTCATGATGTTCTTGTTTTTAACAGCTGAATAGTATTCTATTGTGTAGATGTATCAGTTTCTTTATCCATTGCTTGGTCGAGGGACATCTCTGTTTTCAGTTTCTGGCTATTACAAATAAAGCTGCTATGAACATAGTTGAGCAAGTGTCCCTGTGGTATGGTGGAACATCTTTTGGGTATATGCCAGGAATGTTATAGCTAGGTCTTAAAGAAACTGCCAGATTGGTTTCCAAAACAGTTGTACAAGTTTGCACTCCCACCAGCAATGAAGGAGTGTTCCTTTTTCTCCACAACCTTGCCAGCATGTGCTGTCACTTGAGTTTTTGATCTGAGCCATTCTGATGGGCATAAGATGAAATCTCAAGAGTCATTTTGATTTACATTTCCCTGATGACGAGGGATGTTGAGCATTTCCTTAAGTGCTTCTCAGCCATTCGATATTCCTCTGTTGAGAATTCTCTCTAGCCCTGTACCAAGGCTTCCAGACTGTCAGCACTGGACTATGGCTGTATCACTGGTTTCCCTTGTTCTGAGAATTCCTGCTTTCATGAGCGAGCAGTTACTATGGTCACCAGTATTCTTGACTACAGAAAGCTGCAGTAGTTATCTAGTTTATGATTTTATAAGTCAATTTAATAAAGCTAAATGTGTATGTGCACATATGTGTATTTCCAGTTAATCCTGTTTCTCTGAAGGACCCTAATACATTGGTGGTATGAGAAATTCAACTCCTAAATCTCTATGTAAATCTCCATTCATTTCACAATTCTGCCACTCAAGTCTGTTACTGCACTTGGTGATTAGTTTTGAGAGATTAAGATCAAAGTATTTGTCTATGGTGAGAACTGATGACTGCAAAAGTGTAGGAGAATCAAGAACTGAAATCCAAGAAACAATACAAGCAAACAAACAGGAATATAATGTGAATAAAAAATATAATAATACTAAATTTTACACTAGCACATTTAAATGGTTAATGTACCAAGGAAACGAAACACAGTGAGGCAAGTTACATGATTTGTACAGGGAGAAAGATTTGTAAGCAATTCACTCAAATGATGTTCACACTGAAAAGAACCCAGGGCCTATGGCAGTGATAGCACTAATATTTTTATAAGCCATTATTACATTACTAAAATGTTAATCACATTTGGCTATCACAAGTAGGGAGAACAGAGACAATACAGGTCACAAATAGCATCCCTAAATGATTATTTGTGACTAGGTTAATCCTAGTACTAAGGAGTACTTTAAAAAATATTTACACCCTTATCAAAGCCCTTGTCTCCTCCCAGTCCCACCTACCTGCCCTCCTTCCCCCTTCCTTTCTTCTCAGAAAAGGAGTCTGACCACCAACCTACCCCAGCACATCAGGACTGAGAGCATCCTCTTCCCCTGAGGTCTGACAAGACGGCCCAGCTAGAGGAAAGTGATGCAAAAGCAGGCAACAATGGCCATGTCAGAGACAGCCCCCATTCTACTTGCTAGACGACCCTCATGAAGACCAAGCTGCCCGTCAGCTATAAATGTGTAGAGGACCTTGGTCCAGTCAGCGCAGGCTCTCTGGTTGGTGACTCAGTCTTTGTGAGGACAGCCATGCTAGGCTCCTCTCGGCAAGCATAGCAGAGAATCGTTGTGTCAGGGGTTGGCTCTTTCCTATGGGGCGGGCCTCAAATTGGGCCACTCACTGGTTGGCCATTCCCTCAATTTCTGCTCCATCTCTGCACAGCTTGTAGGCAGAGTAAGTTTTTGGTTGAAGGTTTTGTGGATGAGTTGGTGTCCTGCTCCCTCCACTATTAGTCCTGCCTTGATTTTGGAGGATGGCCACTTCAATCTCCCCCTCCCCTTCTGCTAGGAGTCGCAGCTAGGGGTCACCTGCACAGCTTCCCAGAGCCTAACCTTGTCCCGAATATGCACCCCCCACTCGTTTCCCTACTCTCTCCCTCTCACCCCCCACCCACTCTTCTCACATCTTTGGGTGTGTGGATTGTAGTATGGTCATCCTGTACTATATGGCTAATATCCACTTACAAGTGAGTACATACCATGTGTGTCGTTCTGGGTCTGGGTTACCTCACTCAGGATAATCTTTTCTAGTTCTATCCATTTGCCTGAAAATTTCATGATTTCCTTAAGTACTTTTGATCTCATCCATATATTATAGCAGCTAACTGGTGAAATTCTTTCCTAGCATCTATACACCACCTGGTGGAGAAAATCAGTAACTACATACCCATAATGTGTCTTAGCAGTACCTGAACAAGGGAGATGATGCTGAAAACCATGATCATTGCTTCACTATTACCTCCCTTGCTTGAGACAGGGTCTCTATGTTGTTCATGGCTATGTAGTCCAGGCTAGCTGCCCAATGAGCTTCAGGGATTCTCCATCTTGGGCCCCAATCTTAGCAGAGAAGTTGCAAGATCAGACACAAGACATCTTTCCAGCTTTAGGTGGGTTTTGGAGATTTGAACTCAGGTCCTCAAGTATGTGGCAAGCACTTTATCAACTGACCTATCTTTAACACCTGAATTTTGTTTTCAACTCCTCAGCCAGGTTTTTTTTTTTTTTTTCTTGCGCTATGAAGTTGCTAAGTTGGAAAAACAAAATCAGTAAAAACATTGAGGAAAAACATCCAACGAAACTTTGAAGCGATTAGAACAGTACACATGAATTAATAGAACCAAATTACAGCGACTCTAGCAGTTGCTCAAAGAGAATATAATCTAGAAAATGAAAGTTTGGCAGCTTCAGCCACACAGTGAGCTCCAGACTGGATAGGGCAACACTGACCACTGACCACACACACACACACGACGGAGGCTCTGAACACAAACCATGGCACTTTGGTAAAGAACCTCAGAGGAAACCGGAGGTTCAAGAAGCATCGCTAAGCTAAATCTCTGGATCTTGACCTACCTGTCCTCCCCATGTGACTCATTAAAACGGAAACTCCTCTTCCTCAAAACGAGTGACCAACTTGAATCTTCTCCAGAGTGAAGCAGCAAGTGGAGTCTCTTCTTTCTCCTTCCAGCTCTCATTTGAGGCTCCTGCATTATGCAGGGAGAGCCCTCAGGCCTCGCTGGACCTCCTCCTTCTGCTACAATTTGTCCAACCCCATGACTACAGCTGTCTATCCCAAAAGGGGCCCAAGGACAAAGCTTTACATGGGGGAAGGGCGGGTCTTTGTATTTACAGGCACCTGTCATCTAAAACTCCCAGTGAGATGAACATGTGTTTGGTTTTGCTTTCCAGTCATCTGAGAGCCTTGTGTTGGAGATAACTCATCTTTTATCTCCAATTACCCTAAACTGTAGAGCAATGGCAGACAGACCACATCCATGATGGAGAGACTGCTGACTTTCCCACTTAGTGTTTTTGGAAGTCATTTAGCATTTTTTTCCATGAAAATCTTAGGGGTATTATTCATTCCTCTCACTTTCACTGTTCTCATTAAGGCTAATGTGTAAAGAAAAAATTCTAAGTTACTATTATCTACAGAGACATCTCCACTTAAAGATTAGATGTCCTCTGTGCTTTTAGCATAAACTGATTTGCAAAATTGATCCATTCAGGAAATAGTGATAGTCTCTAGAGAT